CTGCCGCCGCTGCCGGTGCCGCCTCCGCCGCTCCCGCTCCCGCCGCCGCCGCCGGGCTGCATCCTCGGGGCCCCACGGAGTCGTCAGCCATCTTCCTGAGCTCTGTCCGTCCGCATGGGCGAGAGGAGCGCCGGCCACGGCGGAGACAGCTGCTCTGGGCGTGCGTGCGTGGATATGTGTGTGCGCCCGGGAGAGCGCGCCAGCCCCGGCGCCCTGCGCCTCCCGCGAGCCGAGCCGCGGGCGGAGGGAGGGACTGCGCGGGGAGGGGTCCGAGGGAGGGGAGGCTGGAGGGGGGAGACTAGGCCAGCCCCCCGCTCGCGAGCGGGCGTGGCTTCCCGGTCGCTGTAGACGCGGATGCTACGCCGCTTCGGGGGCTGCTGGCGGCCGCCTGCTCCTGGGCGCCGGGCACCGGCACTCCTCGCGGCCGCCGCCTCCCCGCGACGATCCCTGCTCGGCGGCGACGGGCAGACCCCCTACCTGCTCCTGAACTTCGTGACGTGGGCTCCCGTGGGCTCAGAGTTGGCTTCTGAGTCTGACCTAGAGGCCGCTAAGGCAAAATGTATGGGGGTGAAGGGTGGAGGTGGAGCATGGAAGGGCGCAGGACCCGAAAGCAGAGCGAGCACTCGGCCCTGGGGTTGTAGCGCCGAGTAGCGGACTGAAACACAGACTGGACCCACCACTCAGGCTCGAGTGTCCTGCCCCAGGGGCCACGGCAGACTGTGCGGAGGCTGGATGTCCCTTAGAGGGATCCCCAGCGCGGCGTGCCCTCAGACTGTTTGCCAGGAAGCTTTCGCCTTCCTGAGACCGACTTAGAAGTAGGACAACTCAGCCTTCAGCTCCCTGGTTTCTTTCTTTCTCTTTCTCTCTCCCTTCCCCCTCCGCCCCACGAGCACTCTTATGCCCTGTTACAAAGTAGCGTCTTTACCCGGTGACCCCGCGTGCACCCTCATCATGCCCTGAGCTTAGTGGGTACTGCTGTGGGCGTAGGATCCTGCACAGGACCCCTCCCTCCAGGAGCCCGACACCCTCGCCACGCCCAGCAGGACCCTCTCCTCTCCGCGGGGTTCCACACTCTTCCACTAGACTCTAATCTGCAGGTTCCAGAGCCCAGCTCATCCTTCATGCGCTCACGTGTCCCCTCTTGGCCGCCTCTGTCCACGCCCTGGGCCAAGGTCGGCTGCGCCTGTCCCTGCCTTTTGGGTTGAGATATTGGTGTGAACCACTTGATCAGGCTCCAGCGACAACACATAGCTCTGAAAGCTCCTACACACTGCAAAGGGGCACCTCGACGTTCCCAGTTCAGGTTCAGCTTTCCCGCGCCGCTCCACTTTGTAATTACCTGACACAATGTGATATGGGGGTGTCCATTGTTCCGCGGCTTGTTATTACAGAGTGTTCATTATGACAGTGGTGGAATTTAAAATTACACATTTTTAAGTACTTAAAAAGATAGAATGAAATCGGTGTGGGGGTATGAGTAAGCTTTTCATTAAAATCTCAGCTCGGCCTATCAAGTGGGGTTCATTCTGAGTATTGCATTGCCTAATTTGCATTTTAGCATCGTTTTGTCTCTTAAGCATCGAATTAAAGATATCTGTGAGCATATTCCGGAGGGCTGAACATTCATATTCTATGAAGCCTGTTTTGCATTTTAGCATAATTTGTTTCGTACACACCGAATTCCAAATATTTGGGAGTGTACTAGGGAAAGCAACTCTTCCTTGCACGTGCGGAAGGTTCGAAGGGAAGCAGTACCCAGCTCCTACTTCTAGTAGCATCTGTCCCAAGCCATCCAGGAGGCCTGAGGGAACCGCTGTGAGTCACCTTTCCCTGTTAAGGGTCCTGGTGAAAGACTCTCACCCAGAGGGGGTAAAAAAGATAACACTTGGGACCCTTAGCAAGTTTTCAAGAAATTAAGAAAGGGGGGGGGGGATGGAAATTGAGGGAGCATTTTCAGTTACAGCTGTGCCTCAGTGAGATTTTTCACAGTAGCTTCGGGAGCATATCCAGGTGCATGTAGCTTGGGAGGCCCGGGTCCTCTGGCTGGGTCTAGAAATTTGCAGTAGACCTTGGCAAACCTTCAGCGACCCAGTAGTGAGAAGGCTGAGAGAAGCCCAGGCCTATTTACATTTACACCCCTTTCCAGATCACTAACTTGTGTGGTGTTTGGTGGGCTGAGCTTTAAGCAAGGAGTGTCTCCATGATACTGCTACTGGGAGAAGAAAAGAAGAAAATCCTTGGGGGGGTTTATATCAGAATTTCACCCAGACAATATGTGGATGGGGGCAAGTTTGTTCTTTGTATTCTGTCCTCTCAGCTAAAGAAGTGCTGGGAAAACTTTTGTTTTTTTGCTTTCGGAAAGTGTAAAACTTCAGACACGTGTTGTAAAATAAACTATGCAATAGGAAGCCTTTGTCTCTTGGAAACATATTTAAGTCTGCTATGTTTCCTTTGGTGCCAAAGCCGTCACAATTGATTCACTGTTGTTCCGCTGATATCAAGTAACAAGTTGTATACCCCCAATCTGAGATACAGTTTCACAAGTTAAGAAACAAGTAAACAGAAAAGGTAAACTATCGCCCAGACTTATATTTAGAAGCAGCGCTACTTCTTTCAAAGAAAAGGACTTTAGAGAAGTAGCCCAGGTGTTTAATAAAATAATGACATTAATCAGCCACCTGTTCCTCTGTGCCCTCTAGAAAACTGAGGTAAGAAGACTGGATCAGAACCCATGAAGCACGTCTTTCCTGGCAATAGAAGCACAGAAGTGTATGTGAGGAAAACTGCTTATCTGACATAAGCTTCGGAGCTGCGATTGCTACCTGTTCATGAATCTGTGTTTTCCCAAATGTACTACAGAACGCCGGTAGAGCAAGAGTTGATGCTGTATGCAATTGGAATGGAGTCAGATCATGTTCCCTGGATAACTTCATTGTAAAAGTATAACTGTGGTAGAAACATTAACATAAATACTTCTCTGAAGACTCCTCCACCCCACCCCCACACAGCACCCAAGCCTCCTGGTATACAGT